ATAACTTTTACATTGAATTTTCTTCGTATCTTAAAGGCTTATATTTGACTAAAAAAAGTAATAATATACTTATTTCATTGGTTTCACAGGGTTGGTGGGACGGCGTGCGTCTTTCACTATGTTGGTATACTGAATACGGGCAATCAGTGAAGGTATCCGTGCTTTGCACGGCATCAAATATGACTTTTGTTTGACGCCACCTTCACGGAGTATGAATTTAAATGTTCAATAAATGCGAACAATTTTTCGATTACTTATCCATTTAAACTCGACTTTTGGAAGGCTAACCAGAGTTCCTTTACCAAATTTTATCATAATTAGTATAACCAGCTCCAACAACTTCAGACATAAATAACCTATATCGACTATAAAAAAATGCGCGTCTGCACGTTGAAAGTGTCAGTTAATATTAGTATAGTGTAAATAAGCATGACCTAAATCATATAATAATAAACTTTTGTACATTTTATATATATATATATTTTTGGTCACTTATTGTTAAATATAACCTTCAAGAGATAGAGAATTATATTTCATCACCTAAAACTTATAAATTTAGTAACTTAGTTGAACGCTCGATGTAGTTACTAATTAGATCTAATCTATATTATAGTAGTGGTGTTCTATTCGTATAGTTAGTTTGAGATATTTGTTGATTACATTGTGTTAATCATTTTGCATGGAAATTTTTGTTTCTAAGCAATTCTGTAATTGAAGGGTATATTGTAATTTATTTGAAAATTGGAACAATTTACATTTGCTAGCATTAAGAGTTATCTGTTTTTAGATCACAATGTAGACGAGGTATATGTGCCGTTTTGTAATTTGAAGCTTCCAAGGACTTTTGCAACATTTACTCAGCTTGCAACTCTCCTTGGCAGATTATATGTGTGTTTAGTACGGTCTCGTGTACCATGTACCTTTTATAACCGTGAATACAAGGGTATATATCAGTTACTAAGCAACGCTGATGGCATTGAAGGTCTGGAGTGTCTTATGTCAGTAATGCACTGGCCTAGTTTGTAAAAACAGCCGTACTTATGACCCACTTTGCCGGTGGAAATTGTATTTAAAAAAAACGTCTTCGAGACTGTTGGTTCTGAACAGGAAGCCAAAATTAAGGGCCACTTAGTCTTATGGGCGCACAAAGTTCGCGACAGGTAGCTAGTTTTAGTGAACCTTCGTTAACTTCTTGCAGTTAATGATAATCTCACTAGTAAAGTTTATTGTCGCATTCAATGTTTAATGTCTCTTCTTGCTATACTACTTAGCAATGACAACAGTTTAAAAGTGAATGCTTTGTTATCTTTGTACCAGCGAGAAACCGTATCAGTCGAGTGCATTATGTGCTCAGTTTCAGAAGTTACGGGAATTTCAGCGTTGCCAAAGCAAGTTATTTGTGTAGAGACAACTTTTCATTTTGAAATTATAAATTTTCCATTTCCAAATTTGTTCATGGCCATTTTTTACAGTTCATTAGATACAGTAGTGTGAGTATAACGCTAGTCGTTGCAAGATTTTATGGACGGAACTCGTAAACTCACTTATTTTCCATAAACGAAGATTATTCACTGCATTTTGAACAGGAGGTGTGTTCAGTTTTGTGGTAAGTTAGATAATCATATTAGTGTGTATGGGATTATTAATACCACGACTTTTCCAAAATTGTAGCGTTTAAACCTTAATTTCTTAACTAATTATTTTCATTACTTTTATATCTTTGTTTTTAATATAATGAAAATCTGCAAGGCAATCATGCTAATTTTACCTATGCCTAGTTATTGTTTGTTTCACCACAAACTTATACAATGGGCTATCTGGCCTCCGGCCTCCGCGGTGAATCAAACTCCGGATTTTAGCGTTGTTAATAGATTTACCGCTTACCCATCGGGGACTGGCTAGTTATTGCAAGCTCAGTAAAACCTTATCATCTAGTATAGCATTACGTCATTAGTTTAGTTATATTATGATATGTAATAAGTCTAGTTGTAAAATAGAGGGAATCCTCAATATCCGCGGAACCTCAAATTTTTTTAGGTAGGATTAGAGTAAATTAATCTAAGAAACATCTGTTTCCCTTTTTATTAGCTATATTTTAGTGCGTTAGCAATACCAAACATGGGGCGCCCATATACCCGATTCGATTTTATTACTCATCGGAATCTCTACCAGCCTACCATCAAATTGAAATTATTCTAGGCAGGATTAGAAGAAATTAATCTATGAGACCTTGGTCGTGGTCAAATATATTAATCGAAAGGGTTTGACCTTCTGAGTCCAAAACCATAATTAGATAACACATCAGCATGATAATGCACAAAGGATTAACAGAACATTAAAAACCGACTATTTTCGACCAGTCAAGCTTGGCATTCACAAGGACTGAGTAAAACTGTTACCAGCATCTTGCACGTTCAGGTTCAAAACGCTCCAGAAAGGTCAACAATCACTAACGATAGCAGACTGCAAAAACTAATTAGCAAAACTGACTTTCAAATTGGGTTTACTCTATTTTTAAATAGTTCTACCCATTATCACGTGTTGCGTTGATGGTAGAATAGTTCTTTTACTAACAATTGTAATTCCATTATCAATAAACTCTGGTCAAAGCAAGCTACCTAACTACATATCTTAGAAGTAAAAATTAACCTAGTAATTAAAATACCATTCTTACTAGGAGCATGCAAAGTGATAAAAGACTTGCAATGATTAGAATGCATTCATTATATTGTGCTGTTTTTGGATTATATTGTTACGACAGCGGGAGTTACGTGACGCTAGTAACACATCATATTCTCGAAGGTTCGTCAATCCTCAAGTGTTTACTAGATTTGCGGTATTCTTGTATATATAAGACCGCCAAGAAGTGACGGCAACAATTTAGTTGAATTGCAGACAGAGATAGAGACGGACAGTTGGGTCGAGCACGTGAGTCATTCGTTGTGAATTATAGCGTTTGTTTAACTTGTAGCGTGACTGTGGAAATTAAGTGAATTTCAAAGTTGTATTGGGAAAGAATAAACTAGTTTCATTTAAGAAAGGACTTGTATCACTGAAGTTTCATCGGAAAGAAATTATACGGGAAATTAACTAACGACCAGTGTCAGAAGTGGGATAAAAAAAAATTGAAACGAGAAGCGGCAAATCAAACTACAGCTTAGCAGATTTGATGACAGCAATACAAGAGCAACAAAAGAAACAAGAAGAGAGATTACAGCAGTTGTTGGAGGAAAAAGAAAATAAACAAGAAGAGAAATTACAGCAGTTGTTGGAGGAAAAAGAAAAGAAACAAGAAGAGAGATTACAGCAGTTGTTGGAGGAAAAAGAAAATAAACAAGAAGAGAAATTACAGCAGTTGTTGGAGGAAAAAGAAAATAAACAAGAAGAGAAATTACAGCGGTTGTT